GAGGAGAGTGGCGAGGCACCTACCTGGCTATGGTAGACACCATCTTCATCACCTTGTTGGGCGCTGCATCTGGAAGGCCCCAGTTGGGGTAGTGCTGCACCAAGGAAGCTCGAGGCAGAGCTTGGCATGGCGGACCAGTCAGTAGCAGCAGCATAGCTGCTTTGGGTTGTCCTTTGGACAGGAGTGCAGCGCCATAGCTGCTTTGGGTTGTCCTTTGGACAGCCGTGGTGCTTTGAAGACGGCAGCTCCCACTGCCACACCGGCCATTGTTACCGGAAACTAGCGCTTGGTCCTGCTCGGATCGGCGCAGGGCCTGTGGAAGTGCTCCGGTCACAACCCCCGCAGCTGAACCGTGACGCGTTTCACACGAGAACCAGGACCTGAACTTGAACCAGGAACAGACCTCCGAACCACTATCGGTGACAGGAGGGCAGGGCCCTCAGTAGTCCGCCATAGCCTATGCATGTGTGAGGAGGCAGACGGAGGGAAGCCATAGCTATGGTGGACTTGTTGTTGTTGTTGTTGCTGAGTCAGCAGTAAGAGGGAACTTTGGATATTGATTCTGGTTCATCCACTCATTGTTATTATTATTATTGGGAGAAGAATAAGATTGGCGAAGTGAAGGAGGAGGAGGAAGGTGGAGAGAGAAGGGGGAAATTGTCATTGATCTTGCTGGTGTACATCTTCTTCTTCTTCTTTTTCTTCTTCTTTTTCTTCTTCTTCTTCTTCTTCTTCTTCTTCTTCTTTCTCTCTCCTCTGGTCTCTATCTCTTTGCTTTCATTTCTTTTGCAATTGGGTGGAATTGTCTTTCATTGTGAATTTGCCCTTTGGGAATGACCAGGATCGTAACAATTGGTATCGGAGCGGACTTACTTGCTGCTGAGAGGTGTTAGTCACCCTAAACCTAATTCCGAATTAGGTTAGGGCTAACCTAATCTCGGATTAGGGTTGGGAAGTTAGGGTTAAGAGGGGCACTGAGGTATGTGGATACTGCCCCCACCTGGTTAGGTCATGTAGGGTCGACATCAGACCTGACCAGGTTGCTTGAGTGATTGGATGGGGTGGCGAGACACAAAGGAGGCTGATTGGAGTAAGCGAGAGGGAGTAGAGAGTGAGAGGTACTCACACCTGGAATCTGCACTTCAAGAAGACATTGAGTGACTTTTGGGATTCCCCTCAAGAGGGAGACTTGATCGGAGGCTGCCATATCTGCATCGAAGAGCTGCAAGTTGCTACTTTGGTCTTCAGACATCGGCGGGGGATCCGGCGTTGCAACAGGGTTGTAGGAAGGCCATCTTAGTCATGCTAGGACACTTCGTGTAGTGGTAGCTAAGGGTCAGGAGGACTTATGAGAGAGGGGGGTGAGTCATTATCCATCTTTGGAGGCCGGGCCTCACAGGTAAGTGTCGTGTGACCTGGTTATGCCCGTGGGAGGTTGCTTGGTGCTTCATGGCCTGTTGGGGTGTGCTGGGCTCTCGTCCTCTTCTCTCCGGTTTTGGTTGTGTGTGTGAGCATGTGGATTGGTTTCTCACCTGATGGATGGATGGATGATGTATCTGTTCTAAATGACATATCTTTCTACGGTGCAATGTCTTTTCATTTCTGAACGGCTGTAGGGGTGATTTTTTGCTGAAAGTTGTCTTTTCCTTTTCAGTACGGTAGAGGCAGTTTGGGACTGACTTGGTACACCTATCTCGTTGGTCCTGGTCCACGACCTACTTGGGACCTTCGGGACTCAGTGGGACCAGGCCCAACGGGACAGGACCTTTAGGGCCCAAATCTGTTGCCGCCAAGGCATCTCTTTGTTGTGCTGAACTTGGGGGACATACGGCTAGCAAGTGCATTCCTTTCAAGGGGATCTTGACTGGTCTTACTGCATGTTATCACATACTGCCCCGCGTCTGGCTCGGCGACCGTCTGCACCCCTAGAAATCTCCATTGCTGCAGTTAGTTTTCTTCGGCTGATTTATTGTGGTACATAGACCTTGTTAGGTTAGACAAGAGGGGATCTCCAGCTAATTTGATCGGGCCTGTTCGATAAGTCAGTCCTCTCTTCCATTTATTTTTTATTTTATTATTCTTTTCTTTATTCTGCTGCGTGCCATTCTCTAAGTCCAAATGAATTGCCGCTCCGGCTAGGAGTTCTACCTTCTACTCTTTGTGATTTACTGTTTTTTTCTTTTATCTGAACTATCTATGTCCGGTATTGAGACGCGTGCGCAGAAATCGGAAAGAGAGAGAAGGGAGACAGAAGGTGTTCTTTTTGAGAGAGTGAGGAAGGGCAAGAGGAGTGTTCGTCCAAACGTAAGGAGAGAGCAGACCCCTCTTGACAGATCTACTAATACCCCTTCCTCTAGCATGGCAAACATCTCATCTGCCCAATGGCAGGCCATGCTGGATGCAGCGGACGAGAACGAGCAACCATTCTTTCAAAAACTTTATGACGATGCCGTACAGAGGGAAAGGGAGGCAGAGGCAGCAGCCAGAGCCACAAGCATTGCTGAACAGGTGGCCCTCCTTGCGGTTCCGGAATCGAATGATGACCGGTTCCGAGAGAAGATAGCTGCTGCCGTAGCAGCCTTGGTTCAACTGCGGAGCCTGGAAGACCTCGAGTCCCGTGTGACAGCCCTGGAGCAGCGGAATCAAGAGCTGCAGGCTGAGATAGTCAGCCTCAAACAGTCGCAACTGTCTGCCCCCCGTCCTCCTTACCCTCGACCTGCTACAGTCCCAATCTCTCAACCTAACACAATACTCATGACGAGAGCAAGTGGAACTGTGACGAGCGCAGGAACCGGTGTCAGCTCCTCAAGCGGCAACGCCGACAGTTCTGCACTGGTCATAGTCCCAAAAGCAGGAACATCAACCCAAAATGCCACAGTTCTTACTGGCATACAGTACAGCGGTCCCATAGTGGACAAGCGGGCGGCCACTCTACCGTCCAAGTACGACAGGAAAGGGACATCACCTCTTGGATTAGCTCCATGCGCTCATACTTCGAGGTACTGCGAACACCGCACGAAGACCGAAGCATGATCATGGGCACAAATACTGAGTCCGTCGTACGGAGTTTCATAGAACTCCAAGCTGTTACAGTAGGTTATGAGAGGATCGACCTGACCGAGTGGCTGAAAGTGACATTACGCAGTATCAAGATAAGCACGCTGCGCTCAAGGCAAGACTGAAGCTTGAGGCCCTCAAATGCCAAACGTGGAGGATCTCCATGCAAGCTTTGGAACAACACTTGACTGGTCTGTTCACCACTCAAAACCTGGGATTAACCGACGTGTCTTGCATGGATGTAGTCATGGGAGTGGCCCCTAAAGAATACCTCTCCCCATACCACTTGGCGAGAGCTACTTACGGATCTAGTCAACCTAGAGGCCAAGGACCTCGCCAGGCATACAAAGGCACTCGCTGCAGGTAGAAAATCACAACGCAAGCGGTACGGAAGCAACAACCAGCTTGCCCTGCATGAACATCAGGAGGCTGAAAATCAGTCCTACGCAGATGATCTGTCTCTAGATGACGATCTAGAGCTGGACTCCGATATGGGTTGTTCTACATCAGCCATTGAGTCTGACATGAACGAAGAAGAAAAATTTAATGCATTTAAAAAGACTGCTTCAAGCAAGGGGCCTAACCGTGGTTCGGGTAGGGGAACTATAGCACACCTCCCCAAGAATGTGAAGATCCCTAAGAAACCGGAGGACGCTTCTACCAGGCCTTGGGAAGCCCTCCGCATCAGTCAAAAGGAATGGGAAAGAAGATCCAAACTGCGCGTGTGCTTGCATTGTCAAAAGTCTGGGCATGTTGTGCAGGATTGTTATCGTCTGCAGGGAAACAGGCAGAGGGCGTAGAGGAGTCGTCAACACTCTTTACAGCAAGGGAAGTTGAACAGTCAATTGCCGGCCCTTCCAAGGAGCTTGAATCTGATCAACAACTTGCTCTTGAAGCCCGAACTGATGCTGAATCCAAGGCTGGTGCATTCCAAGTACTTTACATTGAGCCTTGGGAAGAGACTAAGGAAGTTGACTTCCACTCTCACCTGAAACATTGGCAGCAGCTCTAGAAGCAACGCCGTGTTCAAGGGAGTGTGGAGCTAACCTTCTTTAAGTTACTCATTAACCGTCGATGCATCCGTGTGCTGATTGATAGCGGCTCAACGACTAACTTCTTTTCTCCTAACGAGTTTCGTAAGGCGGGTCTGGGAATGAAGCAAGTGGAGTTGCAGAACCCTTGTCAGACCCAGGTAGGCAACGAAGAGGTTGTCACCTCAACACATGCTTTCAAAGGCATGCGCGTCACTTTTGACAAGGATCGCACTGTCACACA